GTGTAAGGGTTCCTGGATTATGGGCTGGCATTTACTATTCTACAGCTCACAAATTACTATTGTAAAAAATAACAACTATTAATAAATTAAAAAGAAATTATCCAAACCCTGACATCCTAACTTTCCAAAGCTCCTACTGAGATTGCTGATCTTATAATTCACTTTCCTTCTCATACATTATTTTTTCCCTTTTTTTTCCTTTTTAACCTGGACTCTGTGGGTTTCTTTCTTACTAGCTCTCTGTGACATGCGACTGTATGTTTTTGTTTGTTTGGTTGGTCGGTTGGTTGTTTTCCTCCCCAGAGCTCCTAACTATAGGAAACACAGGAGAGGTTTCCTCAGTAGGCTTTTCTCTGATAGCAATCAGCTGAATTCAGGTGTGATATCACATCTCTGATGTTGATTTACAGATTTTCATAAACCAAAGACTGCAGTATGCTCTTATGATAGTCATGATGACCACTTTTGTTATGTTTATTTGTAAAGCAGTTGTCAGAATACAAACTAAATATGATAGGCTTCAATAGCAAACAACCCCAGTGTGACTTGCACTGACGGGCAGAAATACAACCATTATCATCTAATGGATGATTTATTTCCTGTGCAACCTAAGACCAATCTTAACATTTCATTGTCTTTTTTTATCACTTTGAGTGGGTTTACGTTTTTATCTCAGAAAATGTTGGGCCTATAGAGATACTTACTACAAGCTGCCCACAGAATGCTAGTGTGAATCATTCCCCAGCTTACATCTCTGTGGGAATGCATTTCAAGGCATATGATTTGTTTCAGCATTGCAAGCTTTTGTGTCAGTTCCATTTGTTTGTTTTTTATAACATTTATGACCTTTTAACTATTTGGGCATGTTCATTCAAAAACCTCAAGATGAGTCTTAATTAAAAAGGGTTGATCTAAAAAAAATACTCCCTCACTCTGGCTAGAATTTCTGTCATATCAGTCCACAGACAAAAACAAATGAGATTTAGGAGTAGTGGTGTTTTCAGTTTGAGTTACTAGCATGAGCTTGTGTGATCTTGCTGAACACTGCCATTTGCAAAAGAGCAATTAAAACAGATGACAATTTGCTAATCGCGCACAGTTCTATTCAGAAATTTAGCAGTATTTTCCCGGTTTGTGTTTTTGTGTGGCTTCCTAGGAGTGAAAGGAAGTTGTATGTATTTATGTTGTATATAACAGTATGTAAATTTGGGAAACTAACACAGATAAAGAATTTTCAGTAGGCTAAAAATATACTCCAACATTGTAAACACTTTTAGAGAACACTTTGTGTGTGTGTAGTGTATGTTTATGTGCATGTATCTATGTGTGAATAGTATATTCCATATTTGTTACGCAGATAGACAAATTCTGCATTTGTTAACAACAGAAAATAGCGCCACATGCATATATAACTTAAAAGCTGATCAGGAGGCGGGAAGTAAAGGCACGCTCATGAGTTGGGATTTAGGAGTAGTGGCATTTTCACATTGAGTTACAAAGGATGAGCTTGCTTGATTTGCTGATCACTGGTCACCCTCAGGGTTTGTAGGTTTTGTTTGTGATTTTAACCTTGAAATCATGAAAGCCTATCAGTGGTAATGCTCCACTAGTACTCAGATAGGAGCACTGGCTACACCTTGAGGCAAAGTGATTCAGGTGGCTTTGACAACAACATTGAGAAGTTCCAGTCATTTCAGAAGAACCTTTGAACAATGAGAATGGAGAGAGAAATGACTAGGGAGAGTCTGAAAAGGAAAAGGGACAGCAATCAGATATAGGTATTGTATTTGGTCACCACACTGTGATGCGAGGTTATCATTCCTCTGCAGACCTGTGAGTTACCTCTGTTTTTCCTAGCATGGTTTGAAGTCTTTGTATGTCGGAAGTGTGGTGCTATTTGCCTGGTGTACGTTCTTCATGAGTGGCTACATGAACTTCTCAGCTACACACAGGAGCATGCTGGAAAAAAAGTATAAAGCCTAAAGAAAAACTGTTTTCATCTTCTCCTAAACTCAAGATTTGAGAGGGTAGTGTGCAGTTCTACAGATACTGTGATTTTTTTTGTGTGTTGGCACTGTAGGTTCTAAAGAGAAGGATGTTAATTTTGCACCTCATTCTTTCATGACTAATCTTGAGAAAATAAAGGAAATACTTTACAATTCTTAGCAACTTTTGAACTCTTACTAAGTATTTCTTAATCATGGAATTGCTTTATCTGTATCATAACATGGCAGGTTTTATTTTAAAGTTGGTGTGTCTAGTGCTTGCTGTGCTTTCCCATATGTTAAGGGAATTAATCAAACACGTTAATAGAGAATATATCTATTTTACAATAAGTCTAGCAATTATATTAGATCAGCTGTGGAGTTTCTATATGGCATTTTAAGTCCATTATCAATACAGATGATTTAATTGCACTTTTAATGGTCCATCATAGAGTTATCTGATGAACAGGAAGATTTATGCTTATTGTATATATCCATCATAAATGTTTTTAAGCTATATAAACAAATATTCTCTTACTTTGTAAGGAAGATGCTTTGTAAAGCTGTCCATTTCTGTTATTGTCCATTGTCTGTGGATACAGAATACAGGATCTGGTAGTGTCTTCCATTAAACCTGAAAAACCTCCTATTGACTTCACTGCCAGATTGGGTCCTTAAGCAGTCTGAAATAGAGCTGACTTTTGAAAATGTACTGCTGTTCTCTGCAGATTGCTCATCTTTTGTTGACTGCTACAAAGATTCCGCTTCCTACAGCTGTATTTTTAATTGAGAATATGTTTTAATAAATATTTTATTTTAAAAGGTATATGGAGACCTAACATAGTAAAATAAAACACAGGTTACTGACTGTAGGTTATCTTAATGTTTAGGTGTGGGAATTATGCATAGCACTCATTAGCAAGTGTACATTTAGGATAGCCAAAGTGCTGGTATATATGCAGTGTAATTCTCCTACAGAGGTATCCAGACAGCTTTAGTGCTGTAAATGTCTGTTGTGTTTATTCAGTATGTTTGGGAGAATTATATGCAACTATAGCCAGTAGTGGCTATGGCTGTCCTGTACTTGAGGGTTTTCTTTTGAGATGGTTTACCAGGCCTTCAGTTTTACCAAGCTCCATTTCAGAGGTTCCTTCTTTCTCTTCTGAATTCCCATAAGCATTTTGGTTGCTTTTCACGCATCAAAGAAGAATAAGACGTCTTTAAGTTAAGGCCTTACTCAGTTTCCTTTTGTCTCTCTTCAGTGCACAAAGACCATAAAGAGCAAAGAGAATGTGGAAAAGGTTCTGAGTGGAAGCACTCCAAGTGGTGGGAAAGCTATTATCTAGTCTGCCAAAAAAATCTAGGAATCTCAAAAAGTAGGGAAAAGGAGCAGGAAAATGTAAAGACATGGGAGAAAGTAGAGAAAGGGGGTACACCCCAGAAGCTTGCAAAAGAAAACTAGTGGTGGAAAAGGAAAACCAGAGACACACTAGATAAGAATCACTGTGACATAGTGAGCAATTCTACGTTCTCCTTTTTTTTTTTTTTCCCCAGGAGTTCTGAAAGAAACTACACAATAAAAATTGGAAAGGGGTGTGCAGAAGGGATGAATTTTCACAGCTGTATGTGATATACATTTTTCTGCTTGCAAGTTAAGCTTTTCTTTCTCTCAACAGTTACAGTAAGCTTGTGGAAGTGATGTTGCGCATTTCAGTGATAGCCAAGGATTTAAAAAATTTCAGCATTCATTTATATAGGTTTATCTCACACAATTTCCTGTATGTCTAATAAGAATTTTAAAGGCTGATTTGGAATAAAAAGGTTAGACTAAGAAAACCAAAACAGAAGCAAAACCCTCTGAAATATTGTAAATATTTGCTGATTTCATTTGGACCAGAAGAAGGGTTTCATGCAGACTTCAAGAGCTGAGATACAGATTGTGCTTCCAAATGCATTATATTCTACAATATAAGTAATGTTTAGCAATTATGCACTGTGCAGGATTAATATGCTTCATAATGTGCTTTAATCACAAGGGAGCAATGCTTTCTATCCTACAGGACAGAAAAAATAAGAATGTACCAGTTTTTCTGTCTGTTTCCTGTTTAAAAAAAACAAAAATCTTTGTATTGCTATGAGAACAGATACATATAAGATGTTCATGTCCCCAGTGAAGAAAAAATTGTTTTATATTTGTAAATTAGGTGAAAATAATGTTGTGGCAAAATGTTGTCTGTGAGTTTTTCTAGATCAACAATTACTGGCTAGGTGAGCTTCCTGTTTCTCACATTCCCTCTCCATCACACACATCTCACTTAAATACATGCTCCTCACTTGGGTGGAAAAAACGTTGAGAGAGACGTGCTTACATCTTTAACGTAGTAATTGTTCAGTTAATCTCATTTATGGGGGAAGGAGGCTATACTTCACTGATACCGATTAAATATCCTATACTGGGTTCTATATAAATAGCTACAAATGTGCACAATGGTTACATTACATGGTATATTTAACAACATAGCTAAATCAGAAAGTATGAGCTATGCCTTTAGTGATGGGAGTACTAAAGATTGCATGCAAGAAGATTTTTGTTCTGCAACCATGAAGGAAATAATTGCTGTTCAGCACTATTCAGTTAAGTTTGCATATCAGTAAAAACACATGCACAGAGGCTCCACCTATATTCCTAGTGCCCTGGCACTGATATGAGTGCAGCATATATTAAAGCTTCAGAAGATGTTACAGTATTCACAGTTTGCAAAGTGTGTGTAATTTTTAATGGAGTTATTTTGACCACTGTCAGATGAAATTGCAACGGTGATGTTCAGGTTTTATTGTTTGGGGTTTTTTTATTATTATTTTGAACATCAAGTACCATAGGTGGCATTTTACATACTTATGGGAGGACTACTCCTACTACTTCTACTGAGGTTTTAAATCTTGTGGGTTGTTTCCTCTTTTCGATTCATTGCAGATATAAATATATAAAACAAATCTTTGTTTTTCATGTTTTAGATGGAAGACTTTATTTGAAAACTACTGTCATGTATTGAATTTTTCTTTTTTTTTCTGCTGAAGATACCTGTGCTACGATAAAGAACTTTGCAGTAAGACATTGGCTCATAAGGAGTTCTGTGGAAAGAAAGCATTTTCAAGCCAACTTCCTCAACTTCATTTATCAATGTTCTTCAAAAATGTAAAGAATTCTGCAAGAGTGTCCTCCTTTGGTTATCTCCTGTGGCTCAACCTGGAGATCTAGAGAATGTTTGTAAATGTACAGTAGCACTCTTCTCACAGTGAAAATCTGCATCTCTGCGCCGGACTATTGTATCCAAAATTACAGGCGGGTCAGAACAAGGCTGAGTATTCCCTTTTTCAAGGAATGCAGACTCTGTCCTCCTCTGATGATTCGATATTTGAGCACATCAAACGATCCTTCCAGCGGTGTCCAAGTACACTTACAGACTGTTATATCATACCGAAACCAGCAAGACAGCTCAGAAATGAACTTGTAGAGGGCATAAAAGGATTCTTATTTAAAAAAAAAAAAAAAGAAAAAAAAAAGGTAAAAGAAAAAAAATTGATACATTCAGTTTTCAAACTATGATCGTGGGTTTTCTTCTAAAGACATTTTTTCCACATGCTTTCCAAGAGACCAACACATATATGTTAGACTACATTAAGTGAAATGGAATTTTGTGTAAGTGAAAAGAAATGCTGAATGTAAACAAACTGTTTTACTGTTCACAAAGTCTCTTTTCCTAAAATAAAAAAATACAATAAAAAGAGTAATAATTTCTCATTGTAAACTGGCAGGGGTTTCTGAAATAAAAGACTTTGCTTCTTATCAAACTGTTGGTCACATGTACAGTATATAACACAAATCACACAAGGAAGGTATTATGTATGCAGTAGAAATCTAGAGTTTAGGAAATGAAAATTTTAGATAATATTGTTTTGTCACCCTGTTGGTCAGAAAGACACCTTTCTAGTTTTAACGCATGCAGGCATGTAAATATTTGTCCTGGAGTCACAGTATTACTGAATGAGATCTTAAGCATCTGGTAACAAGTCAGAATTCTGTATCAGCCACTTTTATTTGTATATTGAGCCCTGGTTAGTGCCCTGATTAGTGCACTTTTAAGAATGGACTGTGGCTGAGCAGCAAGTCAAAATGCCAGAAATATTTTTATATGTTAATGTCATATTACGTCAATGTTGCTAAAAAAAGAAAACCTAACAAACACTTGATGTATCAGTCCAATTCCACGTAGAACTGAGTGATACAGTTGAAGTCTATTGTCCCTCCCACCTGGTCTTAGGGATGGGTGGTTATGTGTTACTTTCACTGTCTTTATGAAAGCTACAATATGTGTTTTCACCTTTGTGCTGATAACTGGAAGTAAGCTGCAACACAGTGCTTATTACATTACTAAAAATTATGTTCTTTGCTTTGCGTACTTTTGGGTTACCCCTTTAAAGACTGATTTTGTGAATCAGTGCTGTTACTGTAAGTTTTGTGATTATGCTTTCTTCATCTAATGTTTTATGCATATAAAATATTATTTATTACATGGAAACATATCAAAACCTTAAATGTCTAAGATGCCTAACTTAAAGCAAATATTTCTTTAAAAATAGTTCTGATTGGATATTAATATTATTTTGTCAAAAAAAAAATTCTAATGTTTTGTAAACTCTAGCACTGAGCTTCTATAGTTTGTAGGTCTTCCTTGCAATACTGGTACACATTTATTTTGTGCGGTTCATATTTACTCCACCACAATCCTTTTTTAACAATAGAAAGATGTATATACAAGTTCACATCACGGTAATTTTTTTTAAAGAAATATTGAGCAATATTTTTCATTAAATATTGTTACCTAATACTTTGTAGTGGTATTATTTTCTAACCATGGTTCTTTCATAATTTTCATAGTTGCTTGAACACATATGGGATTCTGTACTCCAGTTTTTTCATATGCAGTCTTTAAAGGGTTAACAGCTGTAAAGTTAGATGGACTTGTGGCAAGCTTTTGAATCATTCATATCGGAAAGAGAATTAAAAGCCTACAACTGAAATATGTAGTAGCATCTACCATTGCTCTGCTCCTTGCATAGAGTCACCTGTAAGTAGGTTTAGTAGTTTTACAGTATATACCTTCAAGACCTTTGGGAATGCCTCAGTGTTTGGCTTGGTACATAAATGGAAATGTTAAGGATTAAGGGGGAACCAATTTATAAGCTGGATGTTTAGAAAGAATCTTGCTATAAACAGTGTAAATATTACAGACCATGAGATGTTACCGTAAGTTGAATTTTTTGCCCCTCTTTAGTTATACAGGTTTTGGGTTGGTATTTTGTTTTTGGTTTTTGATTTGGATATTTTTTTTTTGCATAGATTATGAAGAAAAGTTGTGCTCATGTTATTGTTTATATGCTTTTGTAATCTTAAAGATATTAATGTCTAGTTGTTCTATATTATAACCACATTTGCGCTCTATGCAAGCCCTTGGAACAGAACATACTCATCTTCATGTAGGACCTATGAAAATTGTCTATTTTTATCTATATATTTAAAGTTTTCTAAAAATGAAAAAAGGTTATTACGAATTTTGTTGTACAAAATCTGTACAAAAATCTGTTTTTACATCATAATGCAAGAATTGGAAATTTTTCTATGGTAGCCTAGTTATTTGAGCCTGGTTTCAATGTGAGAACCACGTTTACTGTTATTGTATTTAATTTTCTTTTCTTTTCAACAATCTGCTAATAAAACTGTCTGAAATCTCCCTGCGACTTTATTTACAGTTCATCTTTATTAAATTTTCTGAAATGTATAACATCAGAGGAATATTTACTTTCTAATGGGAGGCATCTAAAAACAACATAAGTCAGCTCTTTGTAATGTGAGGAGAACAATGCTGAATGATTTTATTTAACATGCAACTGCTTCTATCTCTAATATGAATTACTGTGGTGAAAAACATCATAAAAGCACACTCTGTGGTTATTGTTTAACAAGCAGATTTTCCATATTTTTTTTTTCTTGCCAGCTAAGCAAACTGCCCCCATCTACATGATTTATTTATGTACATTTCTCAGTTTATGAAGCTGTTATTTGTACCTTTTTCCTTTATATTGTGATATTCCCATGATTCTTATTTCACAAAGCTTTGTGCTGAATAATGTAAAGTGGACACATTGATGGAACAACACATATTATTCCCCTAACTACAGAAATGCAAGCATAATCCAGTTGGTTTTGTCTCAAATCTCCTTCACTTGATAAAACATGTTTAGAAACTTTGGTATCCTAACACATTTTTTAACAAACAGCGAGTATTTAAACATTTAAACAGGCATTTGGAGAAAGAAATAGTTCTGGCTTAGCATATCTTTAAGTGGTATTTTGAGGGGGGGGAAAGGTGATTTTTTTTTAAGGTAAAGATGTTTATTTAAGAACAAATCTGGAAGTAAGATATTTTTGCTCGGAGTCAGAGAGATATGATTGATTTTGAGTATTCTCCCTTATTGCCCTGCCTTGCCTGGCCTTGCCTTGCCTTACCTACCCATCCCTTCTCTTCCCTTCCTTTCTGAACCACACCTACATGAATGCTTCTGCTTTCGTTAGGGAGCAGGCTCATTTGGGAAAGTGGAAGAGATTAGCTTTCTTCGACCAGCCCATTTCATTATCCCTAGATAGCCTGGGGACTGCAAGTGGGAGGCTGACAGGCTTCCTGGGTTCCAGCAGGTTGTTGCTAGCTAGTTGATTAGGATTTTGGCTAGCTGTACATAAGACAATCACAATCTCCTTCCGTCTGCATTAAAATGTCCTGCATGTCTACGTTAGTAAGCGTGCTGGCTGTGCCATAGCCAGTGCCCCGGCTTTAAGCTCTGGCACAGTTAAAGCAGGGAAGAAGTAAACTCATTAATGAAGGCCAGGCTGGATGAGGCTTTGAGCAACCTGGTCTAGTGGAAGGTGTCCCTGGCTGTGGAAGGGGGATTGGAACTAGATGATCTTTAAGATCCGTTCCAACCTAAACCGTTCTGTGGTTCTGTGAATCTCTCAGTCCAGCTCGCTCCCCAAACTGAATTATCTCTACAGTAACAGACTAGCAACCTACTCGTGTGTTTTTAACCAACCCAGGAAATAGCTGTTTTTCAGCAGGAAGGAACCTGCCATCACATAAATTCCACCCTATCTGCATCTCCTTTATCTGTTCACAGTAGCTGGGATTTAACAGGGATGAGGTTGGATGCGCCAATAGCTAGTCAGATGTCGGTACTCCTTGTTATAGTAAAATGAAGCTCTGTCAAAGCTTAGGTCAAAATCAAGAAGAGGGCACCCTAAACGTATCTTGCCTATAGCATAGTAGTAGGTTATGGTCAAATCCTGAAGAAGTTTAGGGTCAGCGGCTAGATGCCAAAAGTTTTAGGAAAATCCTTAAGGAACTGACAGACTCGACTGAAAAATAATTTTTTTTTTTTATTTTTTTTTAAATTTTTTTGCTATGGAAAGAGATTTAAGGTTGGATTTTGACCTGAAAGATAAACCTCTTTATTTGCTGAAGGTGCTATAAGTTCTTGAAAATTGCTTCCTTTGTTATTTGCTTACATGTTATTTGACACAAGACTGTGCAATAAACAAAGCCTGAGGCCAAGATTTTCAAGCGTGACTGCTGATTACAGGTACTTCTAATTTTGTTGGGCAAACTTCAGACATTTTCCATGCTTTTCATAAAATAAAATGTCCTAGCTCAAGGGTTCTGTGAAAGTTACTTCTTCGGTAGCTATTGTCGAACTCATTCACAAGATACTGAAGAATTTGTTAGTGTGCCTTTGCTGAGCAGGAACTCACCCTGATCAATGACAGTGGTTCTACCACCATTTCAAGCAGAAGCCTCCTTGTAAAAAGCTTCATTTTCAAAGGGAGAGGAAACAAAGACTTTCTGAAATTCAAGCTCCTAAAAGGAATCAAGTTAGAAATAAAAGGCCTCCACAGTACTTGGAAGCTTTGGAAATATTCACCCAAAAGTCAAACACTACTATGCAATTTGTGAGAACTTGCACATAATCTGTCCGTAAATGTGATATCTTCATCCAAATTATAGTAAAAATGGTTGTCATAGTCGAGTGATTTGGTTAATTGATCCTCTAAATTTGGATCATAAAGACAGAGCCAGATCCAACTTGCTATGTAAAGCAAAAGGACAGGAAGAAACAGATACCAGTTGCAACAAAGAAAACTGGTTATAAGGGGGAAAAAAATCAAAATAAGAGTGTTGAAGCATTAGAACAGTTTTCTCAGAGAAGTGGGATCTCCATCTTCAGAGATTTTCAAACCTGAGATGAGCAAGGCCCTAAGAGATCTGATCTAACTTTGTCCAGCTTAAAGCAGGTTAGCCCAGTTGACCTAGAAGTCCCTTCCAACCTCAGGTTTTTATGGTTCTAGAACTACAAAACTTATACACCTGCTGGCCTTGTAACAATAACACTTTCTATGTCCAGTTTAGCAAGGAGCAAAATTTTATGCTATAAATAGCAGTTATCAGATCTAA